GGGTTCGAGTCACTTCTGGGGTGTGAGTTTTCAGTTGCATATTGTCCTGGGGACCATTCAGGCTTGTTCGCATTTGTGTTCCTCACGTGTGCCCCAAAGAATGAGGTGATTTGGTAAAATGCTATGCCCAAGATAACTATCCGAGTGCCGGCGGTGGGGTGGTTCAAATAGCCTCGGCTATCACCTCATTATGTCCGGTCGTGATGGTCAAGTGGATTAAGGCGTCTTGTACATACCAGTTGCGTTTGCTCCTGGGAGTATGGGTTCGAGTCACTTCTGGGGTGTGAGTTTTCAGTTGCATATTGTCCTGGGGACCATTCAGGCTTGTTCGCATATATATATATATATATATATATATATATATATATATATATATATATATATATATATAACTGAAAACTCACACCCCAGAAGTGACTCGAACCCATACTCCCAGAAGCAACGCAACTGGTATGTACAAGACGCCTTAATCCACTTGACCATCACGACCGGACAAAATGAGGTGATAGCCGAGGCTATTTGAACCACCCCACCGCCGGCACTCGGATAGTTATCTTGGGCATAGCATTTTACCAAATCACCTCATTCTTAGGGGCACACGTGAGGAACACAAATGCGAACAAGCCAGAATGGTCCCCTGGACAATATGCAACTGAAAACTCACACCCCAGAAGTGACTCGAACCCATACTCCCAGAAGCAACGCAACTGGTATGTACAAGACGCCTTAATCCACTTGACCATCACGACCGGACAAAATGAGGTGATAGCCGAGGCTATTTGAACCACCCCACCGCCGGCACTCGGATAGTTATCTTGGGCATAGCATTTTACCAAATCACCTCATTCTTAGGGGCACACGTGAGGAACACAAATGCGAACAAGCCAGAATGGTCCCCTGGACAATATGCAACTGAAAACTCACACCCCAGAAGTGACTCGAACCCATACTCCCAGAAGCAACGCAACTGGTATGTACAAGACGCCTTAATCCACTTGACCATCACGACCGGACAAAATGAGGTGATAGCCGAGGCTATTTGAACCACCCCACCGCCGGCACTCGGATAGTTATCTTGGGCATAGCATTTTACCAAATCACCTCATTCTTAGGGGCACACGTGAGGAACACAAATGCGAACAAGCCAGAATGGTCCCCTGGACAATATGCAACTGAAAACTCACACCCCAGAAGTGACTCGAACCCATACTCCCAGAAGCAACGCAACTGGTATGTACAAGACGCCTTAATCCACTTGACCATCACGACCGGACAAAATGAGGTGATAGCCGAGGCTATTTGAACCACCCCACCGCCGGCACTCGGATAGTTATCTTGGGCATAGCATTTTACCAAATCACCTCATTCTTAGGGGCACACGTGAGGAACACAAATGCGAACAAGCCAGAATGGTCCCCTGGACAATATGCAACTGAAAACTCACACCCCAGAAGTGACTCGAACCCATACTCCCAGAAGCAACGCAACTGGTATGTACAAGACGCCTTAATCCACTTGACCATCACGACCGGACAAAATGAGGTGATAGCCGAGGCTATTTGAACCACCCCACCGCCGGCACTCGGATAGTTATCTTGGGCATAGCATTTTACCAAATCACCTCATTCTTAGGGGCACACGTGAGGAACACAAATGCGAACAAGCCAGAATGGTCCCCTGGACAATATGCAACTGAAAACTCACACCCCAGAAGTGACTCGAACCCATACTCCCAGAAGCAACGCAACTGGTATGTACAAGACGCCTTAATCCACTTGACCATCACGACCGGACAAAATGAGGTGATAGCCGAGGCTATTTGAACCACCCCACCGCCGGCACTCGGATAGTTATCTTGGGCATAGCATTTTACCAAATCACCTCATTCTTAGGGGCACACGTGAGGAACACAAATGCGAACAAGCCAGAATGGTCCCCTGGACAATATGCAACTGAAAACTCACACCCCAGAAGTGACTCGAACCCATACTCCCAGAAGCAACGCAACTGGTATGTACAAGACGCCTTAATCCACTTGACCATCACGACCGGACAAAAAACACTGAGTTTTCAGTTGCATATTGTCCAGGGGACCATTCTGGCTTGTTCGCATTTGTGTTCCTCACGTGTGCCCCTAAGAATGAGGTGATTTGGTAAAATGCTATGCCCAAGATAACTATCCGAGTGCCGGCGGTGGGGTGGTTCAAATAGCCTCGGCTATCACCTCATTTTGTCCGGTCGTGATGGTCAAGTGGATTAAGGCGTCTTGTACATACCAGTTGCGTTGCTTCTGGGAGTATGGGTTCGAGTCACTTCTGGGGTGTGAGTTTTCAGTTGCATATTGTCCAGGGGACCATTCTGGCTTGTTTCGCATTTGTGTTCCTCACGTGTGCCCCTAAGAATGAGGTGATTTGGTAAAATGCTATGCCCAAGATTACTATCCGAGTGCCGGCGGTGGGGTGGTTCAAATAGCCTCGGCTATCACCTCATTTTGTCCGGTCGTGATGGTCAAGTGGATTAAGGCGTCTTGTACATACCAGTTGCGTTGCTTCTGGGAGTATGGGTTCGAGTCACTTCTGGGGTGTGAGTTTTCAGTTGCATATTGTCCAGGGGACCATTCTGGCTTGTTCGCATTTGTGTTCCTCACGTGTGCCCCTAAGAATGAGGTGATTTGGTAAAATGCTATGCCCAAGATAACTATCCGAGTGCCGGCGGTGGGGTGGTTCAAATAGCCTCGGCTATCACCTCATTTTGTCCGGTCGTGATGGTCAAGTGGATTAAGGCGTCTTGTACATACCAGTTGCGTTGCTTCTGGGAGTATGGGTTCGAGTCACTTCTGGGGTGTGAGTTTTCAGTTGCATATTGTCCAGGGGACCATTCTGGCTTGTTCGCATTTGTGTTCCTCACGTGTGCCCCTAAGAATGAGGTGATTTGGTAAAATGCTATGCCCAAGATAACTATCCGAGTGCCGGCGGTGGGGTGGTTCAAATAGCCTCGGCTATCACCTCATTTTGTCCGGTCGTGATGGTCAAGTGGATTAAGGCGTCTTGTACATACCAGTTGCGTTGCTTCTGGGAGTATGGGTTCGAGTCACTTCTGGGGTGTGAGTTTTCAGTTGCATATTGTCCAGGGGACCATTCTGGCTTGTTCGCATATATATATATATATATATATATATATATATATATATATATATATATATATATATATATATACTGTATATATATATATGCTGAATATATATACTGTATATATACTGTATATTATATATTTACTAATTAAATATTTACACAATTTTTTAATGTTACTCTGCACTAAATTTATAATTATTATAATCATGTATATTGTATAAACAATATACATTGTTATAATGTTATTTTAACGTGAAGATGGCGCCGGCCGTTATTTTTACAACTAGGGGAAATGCACTAATTTAAACTAACAAATCTAACCTGATACAGCGGATTAGCTCCGGAAACCTCTCCCTAACACTTGATACATCTGTACCCGCCAGTAGTGGAATTGAGGCCATAACGTGTCCGTTTTGCTTTTTTTGAGGGACACGTTATGGCCTCATGTGTTTTCGTTACAAATGGCGAGGGACACGTTATGGCCTCATGTGTTTTCGTTACAAATGGCGAGGGACACGTTATGGCCTCATGTGTTTTCGTTACAAATGGCGAGGGACACGTTATGGCCTCATGTGTTTTCGTTACAAATGGCGAGGGACACGTTATGGCCTCATGTGTTTTCGTTACAAATGGCGAGGGAGACGTTATGGTCTAGGTGTTTTTGTTACAAATGGCGAGGGACACGTTATGGCCCCATGTTTTTTCGTTACCCCGGTGAGATTTAAGGGACACGTTATGGCCTCATGTTTTTTCGTTACCCCGGTGAGCCATGCACGGGCATTGCTAATGGTCAATGACGTCATCAACTTACCTGGGGATTAAAAGGCTGGCTTCTGGCCCCATCATATTTCGCACAGGCATTGCTAATAGTCACCCCGTATTCTTCTTCCCTGAATAAGTCCGTTTTCTGTTATAGTATGTTTATTCCCATTTTCAATATTTATAGCAAAGGGGGATTCAAATGCTACCTTCTGTCAAGCCTAATGTGCAATGGCGTTAATCATTATAAGCTCGTTTTTCTCAATAAGGTATTGCCGTACTGTTTCCCATTGTCTAAGATCATTTTATAGCTAAGATTACATAATAATAACATAAGAAATGACTTCAAACCCTGTTTACAGAACCAGTATTTACCCAGGTCTTTTTCCTAATTCTAAAACTTATTCCAATTTATGTCCATTGTTTCATGTTCTGTCTAGTGTTGATAATTTTAATAGTCTATTAATATTCCCCCTTTATCATGTCCATTCATTCACAGCTCTATCATGTCACCTCTATTTCTTTGCCTTTCTAGAGAATATAATTTATGCTTTGTCAATCTTTCTTCAGAAATTGCTTATTGAGCATAGGGCAAAATAAAAATAAAAACTTACTATCTTTCATTTGTATGAAAACAGTCCCCTGCCAGGCGTAGTGACTTCAATGCGATTTCAGTACTAATCCAATATTACTGTATAAACTAACAGTACCCTGCCAGGCATGGTGACTTCAATGCGATTTCAGTACTAATCCAACATTACTGTATAAACTAACAGTCCCCTGCCAGGCATTGTAACTTCAATGAAAAGCAAGCCTCTCATGTTTTGAAATAAAGCCTTCGTTTCTGACGTCATCATCCCTAATGTGGCGCGAGGCGCGCTAAATGCCGATCCCAGGAGGTTCACACATAAGTGTGAACTCTTAATCAGGCTTAATACCTCACCTATACTCTATGCTTCATCAGAGTTGATATTCAGCTACAATAGCTCGTATTTTCGCTCATTACTTATATTTTCTGTTATTCATAAACCCGATCAAACCTTCCTAACCTAACCTAACCTAACATATTATTTATAACAAACAAATACATTCTACAGAACAGTTATTGTTGTTGTTTAGTGACATCGTGAAAAGCGACCTCAGGTATAGGGACAATGTATTGATGGTCATTAGCATATAGGTGTGAAGGTATTACAGTACCTTACTGGTCAACTATGTATGACGTCACCAGATGGCCAATGCGGCCTTTAGCTTCCTACCTGTATATGCATTATTTTTTTATGTTATTATTCTAAAATGGCTAGACTATCCATCCCCACCTAACCTATTCAGAGGTTTAAGAATATACATTTTAGTCATCTGCGACTGTAATCATTCATTATGCAGTAATAAATTCAAAACTAGAATAGATGCCCAAATGTCGTACCGCAATTTTTAGAAGCATCGTACGTCTGGCAGCACAGCAGGTAAGCTGACCTGGCCGCCATTCCCCAGTCAAATAGGTCAGTACATCTCTAGCTCTCCCAGCCAGCACAAGCAGCCAACATCGCTCCTGGACATTTCACCAGACCTCTGTATTATTCAACAACAATACGCAACCATGGAAACTTGTCCTTTCTGCAATAAGCCAAAGCAGGGGAAATTGCACTTGTGCGAAGTAAGGTGCATAGAATGTCATATCTCATATACAGCCAACTCGCGTCGTGAGTGTGTGTTATGCTGTCCCCAGTGTGTTAATATCCCTCGTGGACATTATGATGCAGTCTGCACCTCGTGTTCCAAAATCTTCTGCACCAGTCGTGAGTAATATTAATATCAGCAACACTTGCTTCGTTTATGATCAAATGATTTTATATAGAATTACACCAGCAGCATGTGATATTTTATAAAAAAAAAAATATTGCCTACCAGCTTCAGTAATATTGTTTTTATTCGCATAAATAATATTACTGTGATCCACAGGTCGCGACCCCGAAACCTGTCCATTTTGTATGAATCTGGATGTTGATGACGATACAGAGTCTAACACCAGATCCGATTCTGAGACCTCAGAAGCTTCATCGCCTCAGAGCGAAAGTAAGTTAATATCCATCATCAGTATTCATTATTAATTTTATTAATCTGAGATAATATTGCACTATTCCCATCAATAATCCGTCATTTAAAAATATATATGTTATGAATGCTAACTAACATCTACAAAAAAATAATTGTTTTTTTTTTTTTTTTTTCAGGATCATCTGTTGAACAGTTGGATGAGGAATATCCTCGTGGAGGAGGGAATGAGGCTGGAGAACCTAGCACTAGTCAAGCTCGTACACCGCCATTAGAAGATAGTAACAATAGCAGGCCCAGTCTAGATCGTAAGTATCATCCTCAGTGATTATTTCCATAACCTTGCATTATTTATTTGTAAACATTCCTATATTAAATTTATATTATTTTTTATTAAAAATCTCAATTCTTTTTACTCTAGGTAGCCATCTAGAGGATGAAGACTCCCTGCATTTGGTTTGGGAAACAGATTCAGATGTGGAAGCCAGCCAGCCTATCGCTAATTCTCCACCACCTCAGGAACAGCAGCAGCAGGTAGATGTTTTACTTCCTCCTCAACCCGAAGTTCTTGAAGTGATTAATAATTTCAATGGGGGGTACATACGCCATTCATATAGCATCCCAGATCATGCCCAAGGAGATCCTGCCCATTATTTGACTATATATCGTGATTATTTTATTCAGCAAATAGAATCCTTGTTTGATGCCGTTCACCCCAATTTCCCTCCTGCCCTCTTGATATACCCTGATTTTACATTTAATTTACAACGGCTTAATCAAGAAAATGAACCTGATTTTGAGGGAGAGTTACCTATAAGGGCCGAGCAACGCACTGTATCTAGGCATGAGGCTAGTGTTGTCGTAGATCAATGGATCGCTGAATTGGACAATAAGTTAGAAGAGTTCTTTGCCGAGACAGAAGGTTCGAGTCTAGGTATACAGAGCATTTCTGGTTTTTATATCGATTCCATAGCTGTTCAGCATCCCATCCGTCTAGGAGAATACGTGCCTTATCCGGATAAATTGCGTGGTTCGAGACATATTTTCAACCCTAAAGGCGAACAAAATATATGTTTGATCCAATGTTTAGCTACATATATATGCTTGCTCGGGGAATGGACTTACGCAACATTGGCAGGCGTTCCAAATCTGCCAGGTGGTGTCTTAGATTTGTCCGTTGGAGTGAGGATATCGAAATTCCCATAACGTACGATAACATTAATAAAATAGAAAGTATAAATAAATTAAGTATTTTTATCTATGTGCTCACTCGTGAAGACAATAGGTACTATATTAGCTTAGCTAGGAAAGGTAGGGAACATTCTGCACCTAAAGTACCTTTGCTCATGTTGGAGGATCAGCATCTTGTACTCATTAAAGATTTCAATCAGTATGTTCGCAACATGCGTAGTAATTCTAGCAGAATACCAAACAATCATATTTTTTGTCATTCATGTTTAATTCATTTGTCACCTGATGCTATGCGGGATCACGAAGCGTCATGTGAAGTTAAACAAACATTGAAATTTTACCCTGAAGGTCATAAAATCAAATTCCAAAATTACGGTCGTGCTTATGGACCGTCTCACACGGCATATTATGATTTCGAGTGCTTGTTGGACCCCTCCAATCCCCAAGGTATGATCGAGAAGCGTCACAAAGCTGTGGCATATGCTTTTATCATCATCAACAGGGAATTGGAGGTGGTGGATAAATTAACGTATATGGGGGATGACCCTGTGAATCATTTCATTAATACTTTGGAGAAAGCATGGAAGAGAATCAAATCTGCCATGCCTAAATACAAAATATCTATGACACGTGAACATTGGCAAGCCTATAGACGTCAGACCACATGTGAAATGTGTTATAGTCCATTTAAATCAGCTATGGACAAGCACCGTCATCATGATCATGCTATTGAATTTAATAATTATCTAGCTGCCTATTGCCAAAGGTGCAACATGTTGTGCAGAAATTCTTATAAATATTTATACACATTCTCTCACAATGCGGCTTATGACCTCGGGGTAATTTTAAATGAATTGTCTAACGTCCCTAACCGTGAAATTGACATTGCCTCCAAAGATGGATTTAAGTTCATGAAAGTAGATATCGGTAAACTTCGCTTTATGGATAGTCTGGCTTTACTAAATGGCGGGCTGGAAAAACTAGCTAAAGAACATATCAGGGAAGGTAAACCCACCACTTACACCTCAGTTATGCTAGATGACGTCCCTGTAGCTGCCCACCATTTATTGAAGACAGGCAAACAGGTCTTCTGTTATGACTACATTTCATCTTTGGAGAAATTAAATGAACCGGCTCTTCCTCCTCCCGAAGCCTTTTACAATAGTTTAAAACACGAGGCCATAAGCGAGACCGATTATACACAGGCTAAAGAAGTCTTTAGATTAGCGGAATGCAAGACCATTGGGGATTACTTAAAGGTCTATTTAAAAGTAGATACTGGACTATTGTGTGATGTGTTTACTGTATGGCGCAAGACCATGCTTGAGCTGTACAAGTTAGACATTACTCACTATGTCTCGTTATCTAGTTTTGCATGGGACGCTTTCTTGTTTAAGAGTCAAGTTGTCTTGGACTCTATTTCTGATCCCCATTTGTACGATGTATTGCGTAGAAATCTAAGAGGCGGATTTACCTCTGTTGTACGACAACACACGAGTGTACAAAATGAGCATACAGGTGCTGATCCTTCTAGCACTGATAAATATATTCTGTATTTAGATTTTAATGGCTTATACGCCACCTGTATGACAGAACTGCTTCCTCAAGGCGGGATCCGTAAATTATCTACTGCCGAATGCAATGATTGGCTCCAACAAGGATTGGAAAATATTACATGTGATGGGGATAAGGGGTATTGGGTCATTTGTGACACCAAGCATGTCGCACCTGAGGTGGCTCGATACACCGATGACTTGCCATTAACCCTGTCGCATGCTAATATTTCAACTGATCTTCTGTCCGATTATAGCAAACATATTTTAAATACCGAAGATCGTAAACTCCCCAAGAAAAACAATAAATTAATTGCTTCACATCTCCCTCAAAAAGATTACTTGGTGAGTTTAGATTTGCTTCAGATGCTGATGAAATTGGGATTGGAAGTGGCTAAGGTAAATGCAGTTTATGAATTCCAACAGAGCAAGTACCTTAAGGAATTTGTCGAAACAAATGCTCGTGAACGTGCAAATACACCTTGCGCCATTAAGGGTAAAGCTTTCAAGCTAGTATCAAATGCAATTTACGGCAAGAGTTTGACAAATGTGAGTAAATATGGCGATCAGCATTATTTAGTTACATCACGAGACAAATTCCAAAAGCATGCACGCAATCCGTTCTTCAAACGGAGCATTTTGTTAAGTGAAGACAGAGTTATTTGCACAGTTAAGAAACAATCACTTAAAGTCAATACACCAACTTATTTGGGGTTCCAGATCTTGCAAATAGCTAAGAGGATCCTATATGATTTTTGGTACAATACGGTCAAAGCTCATTATGGAGACAAAGCTAGATTGCTGTATACGGATACAGATTCGTATTTGATTGAATTAAGCTGTCCAAATGCTTTTGAGGAATTAAATAAACTGCCTTTATCTCAGCATATGGATTTCAGCAATTTCCCTCCTGAAAATCCCTATTTCGATGACTCTCGCAAAGGTCAACTAGGTTTGTTAAAATCGGAAGTTGGGGCCAAAATTATCAAAGAACTCATTGCATTGAAGCCTAAAATGTACTCGATTCACACTCAAGATCAGGTTCAAATCTGTCGTTGTAAAGGAATTCCCACTTATCATCAGTCTAAACTCACTCATGCTGCTTTCCAAAGTGCTTTAGAGTTAAATATTGGGCAGAGGTTCCAATCCAGATCTATTAGGAATGTTAAAGGCCGTATGTGTACCTGTCTCACTACAAAACGTGGATTGTCCGCCTTTGACGATAAACGTTATGTACCGAGTCCTACACAGTCTTTGGCGTATGGACACCCCGATATACCTCGAGCAGAAATTCATGAAGAAGAGAATGAGGAGGAGGAGGATGTACCTGCACCTGCTGCTGCTGCACGTCCTGTGAGACGTGGATTCCATCCCATATTCAATATGTGGGGAAAACGCGATGCACTGGTGAACAAGACGTATCCTCACAATTAGTGACTGAAGAAATTGGTGAGGGAACATTGCAACCTCCCCTAACCTGACATTGATGTTTGAAAATTGCTACCTCCCCTAACCTGAGATTGATGTTTGACAATTGCTACCTCCCCTAACCTATCATTGATGTTTGACAATTGCTACCTCCCCTAACCTATCATTGATGTTTGACAATTGCTACCTCCCCTAACCTGACATTGATGTTTGAAAATTGCTACCTCCCCTAACCTGACATTGATGTTTGAAAATTGCTACCTCCCCTAACCTATCATTGATGTTTGAAAATTGCTACCTCCCCTAACCTATCATTGATGTTTAGAAAATTGCTACCTTCCCTAACCTGTCATTGATGTTTGAAAAATTGCGGGGCCCCTGACTCATCACTGATGTTCTGAAAATGCAGTCTCCCTTAACCTATGTTGAAAATGTTCTGTTGTATATAAAAAAATAAAAATTGTGAAATGTATACTTTGATGTTTTTATAAAACCGTGCCCCCCTAACCTATGTTTTGAAAATGTTCTATGCAAAAAATAAAAAATATGAAATGTATGCTTTGATGTTGCTATGAAACCTTCCATGTTTAAATATAATAACCTTATAATACTTATGTCAGTACAAACTCAACACGAGTCATGGATAGTTCACCTATCACTGAAGAACAACTTGATATTTTCAATGAACCTAGCAGAATAATCATTGCAGGATTTTCCAATGGCGGAAAATCTCATTTGTGCACTAAACTCGTACAAAAATACCATCTGAAATTCTCCAGTATTATTATATGCGGCGGCAGTTACAGAGCATTGCTAGACGATCCAGTAATTAACAAGAAAATAATAGCTCAACCAGAAATTATTAACCCTTTAGATGAACGTACAGATGATTCGCCTATTTTAATTATTATCGATGACTTGTTCATCGAATCTGCCAATTCCAAAATTGTGTCTGATATCTTCACTAAAGGCAGACATCTCGCTATTTCGTGTATATTCATTACCCAAAATATATTTTTCTCTGGGAAATATGCTAGAAGTATCAGTTTAAACGCCTCCCATTTCATATTAGTGAAATCTAGAGATTTAGCTCAAATTGAGACTTTAGGGCGGCAGTTATTTGGAAAACAAGATTCTAAAAAGCTTTTGGATATCTACAAGAAAGCCATCAGTAAACCTTATGGATATTTATTGGTGGATTTAGGAGTGAAAACCCCTGAACGCATCACCTTCCGTAGCAATATTGTTGGTGAGCATCCATACGAAATTGTTTACCAATGGTGAATGTACTAAACCACAAGGGGAGGTTAGGGGGGTGGGGTGTATAGGATGTGTTTCCCACAACAACAACAACCACAACCACAAGGGGTGGTTAGGGGGGGTGGGGTGTATAGGATGTGTCCCCCACAACAACAACAACAAGCACAAGGGGAGGTTAGGGGGGTTGGGTGTATAGGATGTGTTCCCCACAACAACAACAACAACAACCACAAGGGGTGGTTAGGGGGGGTGGGGTGTATAGGATGTGTTCCCCACAACAACAACAACAACAACAAGGGGAGGTTAGGGGGTTGGTATATCGGATGTATAAAACAGCTAAAACCATACAATCGGATATCACTTTATTAGAAGATGGAGCACGTACTAGATAAAATTTATTATAACCCCGCATCCACAGGAGGGTTAGGGGGGGTCAATAGGTTGTATAAAGCAGCTAAAACCCTAAAGCCAGATATTACTTTATCAGATGTCAAAGAATACTTGAAATCGTCTAAAGCTTACACTTTGCACGCATTAAAACCTCGCAAATTTCAACGAAGAAAGGTGCTGAGTCCTAAACCCCGTATATATTTAGCTTGTGATTTAGCAGAAATGGGATTAATAGCTAAATACAATGATGATATTAAATACATTCTCGTCTGTGTCGATATTTTTTCACGGTATGCGCAAGTCGCACCTCTGAAACGCAAAGATGGACAGACTGTGATTAAGGCTCTGAAAAACATATTGGAATCCTCATATTTCCAAGGAATACGTAAAATTAATACAGATCGAGGAGGTGAATTTTATAATTCTCATATGCAACGAATGCTTGCAGCTAAAAATATTAAACTGTATAGCGTATTTTCTCAAGAAACAAAAGCTGCTATTGCCGAACGCTTTATACGTACCATGAAAACTAAGATTTATAAATATATGACTGCGCACAATACCTCGAGATATCTGCCCATATTGTCTGATATCATAAAGGCGTATAACACAACACCCCACCGAGGGTTAGGTGGTCGGACTCCAGTTGATGTCCATGCTTTATCTCGTCCACAAGATATAAAGAAACAGTTCAATCTCATGTATAAAAGTAAGGACAAACCTAAAGCAGGTCTTAGTTCTCTACTAGCTGTCGGGGACACAGTTCGCATTACTCTCTCCAACAGAATTTCGACATTCAAGAAAGGTTTTGCTAGACAAAACACGGAAGAAATTTTCAGAATTATTCGTATAGATAAAAGCCAGCCTATCCCATTATATTTTTTACAAGATTTGAATAACAAGCCCATTGACGGTGGGTTTTACAAGGAAGAATTAACCCTAACCCATTTACCAGTTGCATTTAATATTCAGAAAGTACTACGCAAACGTACATTGCCTAATAATAAATTACAGTATAAAGTAAGGTACGAAGGCTACGATTCTTCATTTGATCAGTGGATTGACGCTGTTGAAGATATGAAGAAGCCATTAGTATACAAGTACAAAGACTTGGTGACCTTGCTGAGCAAACTCAATTCCTCAGCCAGGAAAAAATTGATTGCTCAGTTTAAAAAACCACATATTCATTGCTTGTCAGAGATTTTCAACAATTTTCTGAAAAATAGGCTTCCGGTTAAAAAGAAAGTAATAGTCAAATTGAAGAAATACAGAGACACCTTGCATTCGCTGGCTTGCAAGAAACCCTCAATTTCAAACAAAAAGCGTATTTTATTAACTCGTAAAGGAGGCAGTATCCTCGGTATATTATTACCCATAGCTGCTAGTTTAATTTCCAGGCTATTTAATAAATAAAAAATGAAAGAATATTATCTAGTACCTCGTCTCGGCCCTAGCTAGTTAAAAAAGTGAGTCGGCCCTAGCTTCGGGCGGGGCGGACGTGTTGAATCGGCGCTCCAGCAGTTTGGTGTTGTTTGCCCGTTTCGGCCGGTTGGGGGCGGGTGTGTGTCTGCTCGCCTGTGCTGACGTGGCGTAACGATGGGGGTCCCTCTACCCCCAGTCGTCCGGGCTCAGTCTGTGGGACTAGAGTTCTCTGTGCGGGCTGGTTACCCGGAGATTGCCCTGGCTTGTGAAATGCTCTCTGTCCCTGTGTTTGCGATTTATGGGGTCGAGTTGGTAACGGCCCGTAGGGCCATTGTGAAGTTTGCAGAGGAGGCGGCGTATCGCGATTTTCTCCGGCGATACGAGGGGCGGACACTGCCCCTGCCGGATGGTGCGGGCACTGTCACCCTCTCGGATAGAAGTGGTGCACTTACTTACATCAGTGTGCATGGGGCTCCCTTGGAGTTTCCAGAGGCTCTGCTACGGCGGTATTTCGGGCGGTTTGGCGCAGTTGTTAGTGTGAGAGTGAACGTGGTGTCTTCTAGTCCTCTTAAGGGTGTGAGGTCTAACATTCGCACCCTGGGCATGAGACTCCGGGCGGATATTCCGTCCTCTGTGCGCCTTATGGGGTACAACGTTCGGGTGTTTTACGCCCGTCAGCCGCGGACGTGTTATCGTTGTGGTCTTTTGGGCCATCAGGCTGCTGCCTGTTCTGCGCCTCCTGTTGCACCAGTGAACCTCTTCAGTGAGGAGGATTTTCCGCCCCTTCCTGTGGGGGATGATTCGGTGGGTATGGACGTCTCTTCGGCTGAGGAGGTGCCCTCTGTAGCAGCTGTTGCTCCGCCTGTTGCGCCCCCTGTTGTTGCCGTATCTCTTCCAGAGGTTGGGTCCTCGCCTAGTGCTCCGGCTGATGTCCCTGCGCCTCTTCCGCCTGCCGTTTGCTCAGACCCCTCGTCTTCCAGTTCTTCCTCTGCTGTGTCTGTCCCGGTCCCTGCACCCTCGCCGTCTGTTCCGGCTGCGCTGGGAGATGAGGTGGATCCGGAATTCCCTCCTGTGCCTGGCCTGGTGCCCCGTGTGGTTGAGGAGGCTGCCGTGCTGCGGCGTGCGTCGGTTCGCTCGGTTGGTGCTGCGCGGGTCGCTGAGTCTGCCTCCGGGTCTGATGATGTGCGGCCCGAGCCTAAGCGTTCCCGGCGTTCTTCTGTGTGGGCTGATGTTGGCGAATTCGACGAGTGTCGTCCTTCCGTTGACGGTGGCGTGGCTCCGGATGTGGTGCACACTACGGTGGTGGCGGAGGTACACTTGCCTGAGGATGCCGGTGCCGGCGTTTCGGCCTCCACTTCTGGTCCGGTGTCCGAGGGTCCTGCTTCAGGTGCGTTGCCTGCGTCGGATGGCTCCGGTTCTTCGTGGGCGGTGGTTCCCCCTGCTGTAGTTGGTGGTGAGCGGGGTGGCCTGGTGGTGATGTTGAGAAAGGATGCTCGCTCTGGATGTTCTGTGGCCCCTTCCTCGTTACCCGTTTCCTCGGCAGCGGTCTTGCCGCCTCTTCCGTTTCCTGCAGTCCCTTCCGTGTCTCCTGCGGTATCCGTGGAAGTGCTATCGTCTCAGCGTCCGACACCTGCTCCGATGGCGAAGGCGTGGCAGGCTCGGCGTCCCTCGTCCGCTTCTCCGGTGTCATCTGCTTCCTCGCAGGGCGTGGTTGGCGCTCCCCAGCCTCGTTATGCGACTTGCGTCAGTGACCTTAGGCATTGGCCGATGCCGCCAGATATAGATGTTCCTGAGTTTATGATACCCGCTCGAGCGCGGGGGATCAAAAACCCTACCGACCTTGAAGATCTCGTCTGGGAAGCTTACAAGTCGAAATATCCTTGTGAGCTGTTCCCGGAGAAGTACGTTTCTTCCGATGTTCCTCGCAAGTGATTTCTCTGTATTTTGTGTTGCCTGGTTGTGGGGTGTGTATGTGTGTGGGTGGGGTGGGTATTGTTTCCCGGTTCCTGCGTGCTCCGGTTTGTTTTGTGTTTTTTTTTGTATGGCTCGTGGGGGGGTGTGCGGTTCCTATGCGTTTGTGTGTTC